AGGGACAAGCTGTGGGGGAGGGGGCTAGTGTAGTTCAATTTGATACAAAGGCATGGTTCTAGAGTTTGTGATGGCACCAGTGACCAGGAAGTCTCTCAGAAATGACTGGTCCCCATTGTCTTTGTGTAGTATATAGACCTACATTTACTTAATGGACTCAGGCATAAGATGGTCATTTCATAGATTTCATAGACATTAGGGCTGGAAGGGACCTCGGAAGATCACCGAGTCCAGCCCCCTGCCCAAAGGGCAGGAAGTCAGCTGGGGTCACAGGATCCCAGCAAGATAAGCATCCAGAAATGCATTAGCCTAAACAAAGTCTAAAGGTTCTTCCCTAGAGTAGCCAACAAGTGAGAAAAGCTATGCAAGAACCTCACTCCTTGGTGATACAGTCACGCTTACACTAAGGATGGAGTATATACAGCTGCTCTGCTTTTAAACCTTTCAAGTCCAAAGATACACATTGGAATTAGACTCTCATCCCAGCAATACCAAGGGATCTACAATTATAAATATGAGGTCTTGCCCAACATGGCCACTCCAGCAACCTACCTGGACTCCTTTGCCTTCACTTCCCTATATCTGTCCCTCTCCACAGAAAGTGGAACAGGTCAAGGTCAAGACAGAACTGGTAGAAACATTAACTTCCACTGGCTGTCCACATGTTATTTCAGCTAGTGTCAGTGGAGCATGTTACAGAAAGAGGTTGCCTATGCCATCCATGATTCTATTATATGTTTTATCCCAATTCGAAAGACAAGGACTGAAATATAGAGTGCTGCAATGGAAGGGGCTTCTGGGAGTTGGAGGAATTATCTGCTTAGCTTACTCTAAATTTCTTCCAGGTGTTTTGAGCCCTTCCTGCTAGCCTCTCCTTGCATTGACAAGCAGCATCTGATCCTAAAAGAGGTCATTTCCCTTGTGTTAGATGCTTTCATGTCCCAGTATCAGTCTTCGTGTAATGCAGACTGTTCACAAGTGGCTGTACCAGCAATAACAATTTTAAACAAACAAAACTCCAGCAATCACCCTAGCCCTGAAGTATCTATTTTGAATACATTAGAAGGAAATCCTTTCTGGTGTCCTGCCACTTTGTTCACAGCCATCAGCATTTGGACTGTCTTTTTTCCCCTCCATCATGTGTTTTTCAACAAACAGTAAATAAATGGCAAATGTGTTGCTCAGCTCACTTGTATTGTAAAATACTAGCAGACTAGAGGAATTTAGGTTCAATATAGGAGCAGACTTGCTAGAAAAATATGCGATTCTATGTGGTGCCAAGAGCAATTAGCAACATAATGAGTTTAATAAAAGCAACTAAATGTCAGTAGGGGTTTGGGTTGTAGCCGTGTTGGTCTAAGGACATAGGCAGACAAGGTTCCTTGGGTGAATTTGATATCTTTTATTAGACCAACCCAAATGGTTGGAGAATAGTTATTAAGCAAGCTTTTGGGTTCAAAAACCCTTCGTCAGGCTAAGGAAGCTTCAGCAGTTGGTGTGTACTCTTCCTGGATGGAAGATGTCAGTAGACAACCTAGATTTTTCATGTCACAGAACTAAAGTGATGGGAAATCATCAACAAATAAAACATCAGATCAGAATTATGAGCTGAGTTCATGTCAGCATCATAAACTCAGATAGAAAGATTGCTACCAGCTAGAACAATTACAAATTTCCAGCCCAAAATAAAACAACTATGCCTCTTTCTGAATATGGGCTAGTCTTCAGAGGAAAGTCTGTATATCGTCTCTGCCATCATACACTCTATCATGCAAAGAATTTCTACCCCCAGGTATGAATCAGCTCCTAACCTGAAATGTGAGAAGGGAAGCTGACACACAGAGGAGGTGGCAGTTGACAGCTGTAAACAGGCTAGTGCTTTATGTGGTTTTAGGGCCTTACCTATAGCACTGGAAGGCTGAAGAAAGTTTACTCTTCTTCAGTGTGGAAAGTGTGTTTATTATAGCTGGGCGGGACATTTCAAAAAGCAAGATTTTATTCTCAAAACAGGAATAAATTATACATTTGTTTTATATAAGTTTATTTTTTTTCTATTTCTTGACCAGTGCTGTAAACTCTTTCTATTTTAGGAAGACATCTGTCAGTCTAGTATTTTCTCCACTAGACTCCAGTCATCAAATTGAAACAGATCAACAACTAAAATGGACTACAAAAATAGTAACAGAGCACAATGTGATAAGTTGAAAATAGGTTTTACCTTTTCAGCTGATGTTTCATGGAAGGTTTATGATTTTAGAATTAAAGTGTAAAAAGGACTTTCTGGTTTCTACTATCTGGTTATTAAATAATTAATCACCATTTTCTTTAGTAATGAACTTTTTAAAGACCATTTTGGATCATTAACTTTTGGATCATTAACTCATGGGAAGGTAAGTCTACCTTCCCATGAGGTACTACTTTGTAAATATGTTCTGCCACAGTGAAAGTAACAGTTAACCAGAAGATGGCTCCTTCGCAATATTACCCTCCAACACGATGGTCAAGAAACTGTCTAATGGATTTTAGTAATATATTCATACTTGTTTCATTAGTCCTTGAAATCACAGCATTTGGTCGGTATAGCAATGATCCTGCGAAGATTTATGCATATACTTAATAGAAGTCAATCAGACCAGTCGACATTTAGCATATGTGTAAATCTTTGAAGGATTAGGATCTGTGTTCTCCCCGTTTGTACATAATGGTGTCATGCCATCACGTATGATGCTGCCCTGTAGGTGTTTGCAAATTATAAAGTAACACCATACATGAAGTAACTGTAAGCACCAAGCAGTAGAGAAAATCTTATCAGGCAACCTTGGTTTTTATGACCAATTTGAAGCCTCATTGGAATATTTGATAATGAATAATAGTGATACACTACACTGTAATGTTAATCCCCTTCTGAGAAATCAATCTCCATATTGCATAAAATACCACCAGAACAGCAGTAAAAAATATGGCCAGAGATAACATTTACATCCATCGTAATATTTATCAGGACAGGGAAACAAAATGACATCATGAATGTCACTTCAAGGCCAGGGAATGTTTTTGGGGGTTGGGTTTTTTTTGGTTACAATATAGATTATACCTTACCTGTTACATAAAAGCTAACATTTCTTTCAACTGTCCCTATTTTGTTGGAAGCCACACAGCTGTAAATTCCGGACGATTTGGCTTCAGCTACAACCAGAATGCTAGCAGTCTGTGAAAGAAAGAATGGTTTTAGCTGTCATTAAAGTCAATTCAAACATTTTTGGGGGGAAAAAAAAGTTTCTCTTGACAATATGATTCAGTTGCTCCATACATTCAGTGAGGCAGTGCTGTGGCAGTTAAGAGGAGGCATTACCATGTAAAGTGCTGGAAATGATGGAAAAATAACAGGAAACTAGCTCCTCGGGAGACCTTTATATTATCAACCACTACAACCCAAATCTTTGAATGTGCCTTCTAGGTTGATTTATCTCATGCTGCTGATGTAATAATGACAGGTTATAAAACACAGGGTGTAGCACAGCATGTTCTATCCCAGAAGGCTGCTTGTGGATCAGTCAACAATGGGAGTAAGTATGGACCGCCTTACTCGTTTGGGTAGCACTGGAAAAATGGAGCCCCACCTTGAAACCCATTTAGTATCCTCTTTCACTCCTTCATGACAGTGGGGCAGGGGTAGGAAAGAGGCTTGTTCATCTCTCAGATTTTTTCCTCCCTTTTAGATTTCAGCTTTAATATATTTCATAGGAGCATAAAATATCTGTTTTAATGACATATGCCTCTATCCTACCATGTTGGCATTCTGAATCATTTGACAGATAGATATTATGTATATGAGCAGATGGCTCCTAGACATGCTTCTAGACAAAAATGTTATGGTGCCATGCTAGGGGGTGATGGAAGGATGGTTCACTACTTAAACACTCATTCAGGACTTGAAAAATCCCTGCTTCATTTGTTGTGTGATGTCAGGCAAGTCTCTCTGCCCCTCTCTGTCTTTGTTCCAGTTCTGTAAAATGGGGATAAATGTGCTTCTTCACCTCCCAAGTATTCTGGGAGGATACAGATGTTAAGGACTGTGAGGAACTACACACTAGCAGGCATGAGGGGAGACTTATACTCTTTCTTTACCTTTATTTTTTGCATTATTTATAAGCACAAAATACAGTGGCATCCAAAATGTGATTGGTGCTGTAAACACTTTTATAAGTTGTCTCAGAATTCAAAACAAGAAACAGCAGGGCAATGAGAACTAGGTAGAAAGTTCAAGAGAAGGGTTCATGGCTGGCTGATCACAGCCTGAGAATTCATTAGTCCTCAAACAGTCCTCAAACAGTTCCTCAGCTGTTCCCAGGCTGGATCAAGGGGGAGGGCAACAGGATGGACACATCCCTTTCTGCCACCACTGCTGCTGTCCTTGTCTGACCCAGGCACAGGTGGAGCCCCAGAACTTCTCATGTCCTTGCCCAGGCTACACTGCAGAGTGTAGATGTGTGGGGAACTGGCCTCTGCTGGGGCTAGTGGAAGTGGCAGCACTCGGGTATCTCCCTCCAGCACCTCCTCTTGGCCAGCAGAGGACACATGGGAAGGGTGGCAAGGAGCAGGGGCTGGAAGGAAGAACCTGCTGTGGCTGCTGGTGACCCTGGCTGAACCCAGCTGCCATACAGCTGCTCCCTGCAACATGGGGCAGAAGCACCTCTGGGGCTTACCCCACCCCTGGGCAGCTAGGCACAGTGGTAGCCACAGTGGCGGGGGGGGCTGGTTCCCTGTCTTCATGCGCTTGTGCTCTGCCTGGCTCCTGGTGTCCCCCTCTAGCCCAGGGATTCCAGCCACATCTTGCCTCCTTCCTCTATAGTCTGAGGAGCAGTGAGCCACATGCCCTGTAGTAATCCTGCACCCCCCACAGCTGTATCATTAACCTCAGTCAATTTTTCATAGGCTTTAGGGTAGAGGTTGGTGCTGAGGAGGAATTTTGAAGCAGACAGGCTATGGGATAGAGTAATGAAAAGGGAGGTGCCTGTATCTAAGGAATGGAGTCTGTGCTTCTTAGATACTTTCCATAATTTCCAGGCAATTACATTTTCTTCTGCTCAGTCTGTCCAATAATTAGAGTCCTGGGCTAGGCTCAACAGTTTAGAGCACTCCTGACAGAGGAATGGTGACCTTCTGCCCATCCTCAATAAGAACTGATCAAACATGACAAAAACCAGTGGTGGCAAGTATTCATTCACACTCTGCACTTTCTACGTACAGATTTTGAGCCGGACTAGGAGGAATCAATTATGACCCTCAAGTCTGACATCCTGCATAACACAGGCTTCCCAATTTAATCCAGGGGGAGGATGCAGCGGAGGGGGGGGACAACATCTTCCCTATCATGCAAGAATACATTATCTACCTCAGTTGTAACTAAATCATCTATTTTAGAAAAGATTTCAAGACTAGAAGCAATGATAAAGGGCACCTCTGCTCTCTTAGGCTTGTTAAGCTCTGTCCTTGTCAAATACCATCTGTTAAAAAGTTATCATTTATTTCCAATATGAATTTCTCTAAATTTGCCTTAGCCATTCTTCTGCAAGATGAAAGGGCTAATGTACTTATGGACTGTGACCAACTAGCATCTTACACTTCCTATGGATAAGTTAAATTATCTAAAGTCTTTAAGTCTCATTGTAGGGCAGTTTTTTCCAGGCCTTGACTATTTTTTGTATCTCTTCCCTGAACCCTGTCCAGTTTTTAAAATGTGGACATCCAAGCTGGGATAAAGGATTCCAATACTGATGTCACCAACAACGTATCAATTGACATTACTTTATCAAGTTTGTGCGAACACCTACACAAAATACTTGGTGGCAGAGATTCAGGCTCTAGCTCTCTGACTCCGCTGACATCTAGTTGTTGGGTTTTTTTTATTTGATTTGATTTGATTTGATTTCTGAGGACCATAGTGTTCTTGAGCCTGAGGCTTAAGAAGAAAATGCTTCTACAATTCCTCCAGGTAGTGAGAAAGAAAATGTTACCATCCAACACTTTGACTGACTAACAGAACAAGGCTGCAGTTCTAAAATGGAAGTTTAGCCAAATACATGAGTTTCCATGCTCTATCAGATTTAGATGTAATCATTATTACTCCTGGATAGAGGTCTGTAGGCCTGTACATTTCCTCAAACATACAAAATATTTCCTCAGTTATTGACCTGGGCGTTTGAAGTATGTAGGCATAAGATAACATCCCCCTAAAATGGTCTGTGACCACTCTACTGGTGAATACTGTTTCAGGAGCCCCTGAAGCCAGCAAAGCAGTGTTCATGCAGCTAAGCCTGGCATGTTTTTCCATAGGGAATAAACACAGTTACTTTCGATCCATCTGTGCTGCGTATTTCTTTTCATATTGTTATTGCCTTGTAGGGAATAAAAGATACAACAGTACTGATTTAGTATTTGCCATTGACCTCATATCATCTAACTAGTCCAGCCCTGGACGTTCTCTATAATGTGAAAAAGTTCAGGCTCTAGATACGCAGCAGCAGAACGGCAAGCACAGAAGAGGCAGCAATACAATGTAATAACTAGATATGGCAAAACAAAGGCTACCTGTCATGTGTGGCCTCTGTTACCTCCAAATCAGGCATTTTCACCTAGAAACTTTATTGCCATTTCCTCCTTCTAATAAGAGTATGTTCTCTTAACCATTACCCTGCCCTTTTGCAAGCACCAAGGCACACTTGTTTTATCCAAGACTTTGGTGAAAATGTTATTATGGACCTCCTGTGTTGAAATATTGGCAGCACTTCACTGAGTTGTTTTTGATTATACTGATGATGTTCAGTACACCTCACGTGTTGGCAAAGAGCATCAGTGTGAAACATCTAGCCAATATGCTCTGCCTTAAGCTTTTTCACTATAAGAAATACTTGCTATAATATTTAGGGATCAAATAGCAGGATATAGACAAGCCTGAAGTCAGGGTAACCTTATTCTCTAAGTTCAGTTGGTTCAGGCAAGTGATTTTGTTACTTATAAAATATAGTTGTACCTGAAGTGGCATAACAAACAGAAAGCTCTGTTCCAGTGGGACCAAACACATATAGCTGATTCATGGGGAAACTACAGTACAGGCAGCTATGTATTCTTATATCCGCCTCTGTTTCAATGCCCTACATACACTAGCACTTGACTCATGCCTCCGTCACAAAGAGTGGGGATTTCTAAAAGAAGGGGGCAAGTACAGGTGCCAAATCACAGTTTATTTTTAATCTTGTCAAACACTAAATTCCACTTGTATGTCACAAATGGTTGTTCTAAAAGTGATGGCAGAAATTGTATTTGCACTTAGGAGGATAGACAACCAAGGGAGAAGTTATGGGAAGTGCATTGGAAGGAAGGGAAGCTCCAATTATGTTCTTAAAACAAGCTGTATAAGTTAAGGCCCAATCCCACAAAACCCAACAATTTTATGTGTGTAAGTATTTCTACTGAAGACAACAGAGCTGCTGAAGGTTCAGTACTATTCCCATATTTGATTCTTTTTCTGAACAGGAGAAACAGAATAATCAGAAATAGTTTCACCTGTTAACACTGACTTTACACAGATGACACCCTTTGGACTCCGGACTCTACAGTTCATGCCTTGTTGGGTCCTTCCCTATCTTGTTAAATGTATTACATCATCATGGAGAATGTGATGAGGCTCTTATCATCTGGCAATGATTGAGACAATCTTGTTAAACTGCTATGATGCATAGGGTTGTGGTTTACACTGCCATGTCACAAATGGTAATGACACACACCACGCTATGACCAAAGATGGCATCACCAGTCAAACCAGAGACTGACTAAAACAAGAGTGGGTTTGGTTTTGCAAAACCTTGACAGTTGAGTTATTAGTTTTCTTTTTCATCTGAAATCCTGAAGGCAAGTATTATGATAATCCAACACTTGTGCCAATAAGTACTCAAGTATTTTAGCAAGGAGGGTGATATAGAAGGAGGCTGATGGATAGGCAAATGAATACAACCTTTATATAGTACTATACCATCATATATTAATTCTTTACACCCATATCATTATGCAACATGTACGTATATATAAAATCTATATATAAGCACTCAAGAAATCTATCTTAAAATAACTTTTTATCAATGTTGCAAAATCAAGCACCTCAGAGAGAAGGAAAGCTGGGGTTAACATTATCAGTACAACCTGAATGCAGCCTCCTCATGCATAATGGTGTTTGTTTCCATGTAATATCCTAGCCTTTTATTTTAAAAAAAGTAAACTGACACCTGCATGGCTCATCTGCAGGTTTGGCACCTTTTAGTCCAACACACAGACCTCTGCCACTTGAGCTAAGGAAGTGACGGGTACTGACAGTAGGTTGTCATCTTCTCTGTGGAGCACTACTAGAAGGGGATGAGACAGTTTGCTAGTGGGTTTCTCAGATGATTGCTAAGAGCAGAGGAATGGTGAAATTTGAGGGTATTAGGTTCCATTCCATGCACAGGTAATGAGCGTGCTCTGCTTGAAATACCCTCTTCTGCTCATGTTCCTGAATGTGTCCTTGTACCTTTTCCTCTCCAGCCTGTCCCTGCCTGTCTGACACTTCTCCCCTCTGACCAGATACCCAGATTGGGACCTATTATAGCCCCAAACAACCCAGAGTTGTAACTGTATGGGGAGTCCTGCCAAATAAAGATAGAATTGATGAGGAACTCAGCAACTAATAGCTAAGAAGTTTTTACTGAAAACTTACAATCTAATTTTTTTCAAAGGCTTATAACTTGGCTGAATTTGGATTTTATCATATATAAAATGTATTCTCCCCTCTCCACTATCAAATTTTCAAGGCCTTGCTCTGAAACAGGAGGGCACTAGACCTATAAAAAGGAAATGTCATTAAAATGCCTTTAACCTGGGCAAAAGAGCCTGGGGCAGTTGTGTGGCATAGCAGATTTTCAGTCCAAATGGCTGCAGTTTGGCAAAGTTATGAGCAACCGAATAAAAAGTTCTGTTAATGAAATGTGCCAAGCAACCTTAATAAAAGGTAGTGTTACCACCCCATCTATACTATACACACACACATACACAAGTCCATTATATAGATTCATGCATCTGATTTTACTATATAATTATTGCAGGTAATACACATACTTCCTTCACAATGATTTGTTGCTGTTCTAACTAAATATGTAGTAATGTTGCATTCATTACAGCAGTTGATTTTTAGCTGGGAGCTTGCAGAACCAATGTTTCTTGGGAATGGAATGAAAGGAACTTCTCTACAACAGTTTATATGAGGGATCCAAAAACAGTGTGAAAAATCATGTTGCGGAAAATTAACGGAAAAAGTCCAACGTGAGAATAAAAACTTTGGGTGTGGGAATTGAATCACTTGAAGATTTTTTTATGATTAAGTATTATTGCTTATGTCATAGACTTATTCCATTATACCACTCAAGTTTCTCAGCGTCTGTTTAGAGAGGTTTCAAAGGAAATGATACTAGAACACTGTTGCTGTCACGGTTTTTCTGTGTCACTAGATGAATAATGTATCACACACTTCCTGTGTTCTTTTAACCATAAAAACTCAAGGTAGAAAGAAAAATGCATAGCTTACATTACATCCACAGACACCTTACCAACCCATCAAAAGCAAACTGTTGCCTGATAGCATTTTGTGTTCTTGAAATAGGGAAGGTATTGGCAAACTGTCTTTGTGTCAGACCAGTATGGTTCCCCAGATTATCAAAAATTAACTTGTGAACATGCCTTCATCACGTTTTGCTTTGATCACCACCTTCTCTTTCGCTGCCCTTCGGTCTCTTTCTCCACTCTATCCACAATGTTGCAGCTTAAAAACATTTTCTTTTCAGTCATGTTATCTCATTCCTCATATCAGTTTCCTCTCTCATTTCATGTCAGGTTTAAGATCCTTGTTCCCAGGCACCCAATTGCACCCCTCCCTGCACTTCAACTATTTCAACCCCATGGTATCCAATTTTCTTCATAGTCTTTTAAGTGCTTCTTTTGACCCTTCTCTATATTGAATGCTGTGGCTTCTTTTTACTTTGTCTTCTGTGCTTGGAAGTTGAAATGGGAAAGGTGCTGAGTTCTGAGAACAGATGTCCATTGATACTTGAAGGTATTCAGAAGTGTTCAGATAAGTTTTTGTTTTTAAAGTAATGAACACAGAACAGTCAGATGATGTTGAGCTGTCATGTTGTGCTTGCTCCAGCTAAGTTTTACACAGGATTACTCTCTGGAGATATATACCCCATGGAGATATAGGAATCGTCCTGTTCCTATAATGATGACACTTACATGCCCAGAGAGGATAGTAGAATAACTCGTACACTTCAGTTGGGTAACTCAACTGCACTTTTGTTCTCCACTAGGTGAAATCCTACCCTAACTGACCATCTATTACACATCTGCCATTATTATAGAGATCAGGACAGAAACCAAAGGTTGGGGAGCCTTTCATGTTTAGAAAAGTCGTGCTTTCTACATTGCTGCTCAGATTGTTATGGAAGAACATGCATCCCAGAAAAAAATATTAGAAAAGCAATTCTTCTGAGGTAAAAAGAGTTTGCACTGACCCATGCACTTGATGAATGTAGCTCAGTAACTAGCTCATTTTTGGCAGGGATAATTTGTGCTTCAGGAGCCTCCTTATCAACTCTATTGCTGTTTTCCCCTATGACTGTTATTCTTGAAATGTATGAAAAAGTTTGGCAATAACTGGTAACTTGGACTTGTAACTGTGGCTCCCCTGGTGAGGACAAAAAGCAACATTACTAAACCCCTTCACAGACTAACAGCATGTAGGAGGGCTAAAGACAGAAAAAGAAGAACAACTGTTTCACTGTAAAACTTTCCAGTGACCATCGTTTCAGATGCATTTCTCATCATCCTTTAAAAAAAAAAAAGCAGATTGCAGAAGACTTCAAACAAATCCTTCAATTCTGTAGCAAGGATCCATTATTAGCATCTTCCTTCAGGGAGGAACTTATTCACTGTCACTTGGAAGTTGGCCTGACATTTCAACCACTCCTCTTCTGCTGTCTTCAAAATGCATGGCGCACAAAAATTATTAAGCGTGGCTTTTATACAACTTCTTCAGTGCACTGAAATTGTTCTCAACATACCTAGATGCCTCTTGTAAAATAATGCCTCCTGGGCATTCACTCTCTTTTATTCATTACAGTCCCTCCTAGGAATAGCCACCTTCCTTCTGTACCCCAGTACTCTTTCCTCCTCCAAATCTACCTATAAGCCTCATTTTTCATAGGCCTTCCAATGCTCCCGTTTTCTATGAGGCTGTCTGTTCCCATCTGTATCTTGTTCTTTAACTACCTGCTGAGTGACTGGCTAAATGAAAGCAAAAGCCCCTCAAGACCAATGATTATTCTTATATGTTGGTGCTGTGCCATATAGATCTGTGGCAGTGTATGAATAATACAAGAGTGGTGGAAGATACGCCATCCTTATAACTGTTCTTAGATGTATGTTACGCCTCTTTTATATTGTTCTGATAGTATAACTGGGTAGAATTGTAATTCACAGACATGTTGGTGCCCTTTTGGGCAGCTGTAGAGGTCTAAAAGGGCTTAGTGTATCTCAGAAAATGAGGGCTTTGGAAATTAAAGGCTATAGGATAAGATACTATTACATCTCTGGTAATGTCTGCCATTATTTTTACAACTCAAACCAGATTGTGACTCAAGCCAGAGCACTTGACTTCTCTAGGAGCAAACCATATTAATAAAGTCTAAGGCCATAAGGTATCATTGTGGTTGTTAGTCCTTGGGAATAACAGAAGCCACAGAACTCTACCAAGTACCTCTTGGTTCTTCAATAATTCTTGCTCTCAACTAGAGTTTCTTTTTGAAAGACATCTAGTCTTGACCTCAAATGAAGGAGAATCCTCCAGATCTTTCACTAGGGTGTTCTAGTGATTGATTCCCTCCACATTAAAAAAGGAGCCTTATTTGCATCTTGAGTTTTCCTTGTTTCAGCTTAAAACTCCTGGGTAATACGATGCCCTTGGGTACCAATTTGAAGAGCTTCAAATAGTCTTTCATGTAGTCAGATATTGTTATTTATTCATATTGTTATTTACAGCCCTCTTAACTTATCTTTTATATGCTGAATAAATTTGGTCCAGTAAGTCTCACACTTAACATATTATACACATTTAAATCTTGTGGCTGTTTTTCTGATTAATTTCCAACTTTTTAACATTCGTTTTTAAAATGTCTATACTAGTAATTCCAGTAGAATAGCATCCATCTGTGAACAAACTCTCTAAGGAGAACAAATGTCTTAGTGAAAACAAAGAGAAATTGCACAATGGCATGAACTGAAATAAATATGGCACAACATTTTGTATGCTCCTAAATTGACCCCTGATGCTAATGTTCAATTCTAGCAAAGCTCTAAGGACCTGTTTTACTAACAGCTACACACACACATAGTCCCACTGACTTCAATAGGGCTATGCATAGAAATAAATATTTTTTTGCAGAACAAGGGCTATATTTGGGGAGACAAAACAAACTGCAGGGGAGTCTGTTGTAGTCATGTACAGTATACATCCAGCCACTAATGGATCTAAAATTTTGAAAAGAGAGTGAGGTGCATCGTCACATATAAAACAACACATATTTTTCTCCAGTTTAGAAGGGATCAGGTAGATTACAATGAGCCATGAAGTCAGATGACTCCCTCAGCACTGCCTGACTAGAAATGCTGCTACCACTGCTGCCAGGCAGTTGGTTTTAAACTTTGGCTGGACCAGGAATCCAAGAGGGGTGCAAGTGCACCAATGCACACCCCCTGGATCCACCCCTGTGTGCAGCCCTTCTAGTTTAAGCCACTCAAAATACCCTGACTTCAGTTTCTGTTCTCAGGTGTCTTCAAATACATTCCCAGGTAGTGCTCTGGCACACAGGAGACAATTCCCCCTTCACAAAACCATACCTTATTCTTCCCTTCTATTACTGCCATGCGCTCACTGATGCTCTGTATTCTGTTTCCTGTGATGCTGCCAGGTTTCAAGGTGAAAGATCCCTCAGTGTTAGAGCAAAAGCCATACCTGCAGACAGGAGAAATAAAGTGCTGCTTTTAGAAAGATGAGTACAGAAAGAAACATGAAGGATTCAGAGTAGCTTGCTTGAGGATCCACTACTCCAATGGAAGTCAGGGGGAACCACTTCATACTGGTAATATCCTTAACAGATCCAAACTTTCCCAGTAGTTTACAGGTTATTTGTACTGTGTTGCTGTTTGATTCAGTCGGACTTCAGACATGAAATTCAGATTTAGACCAGAATTTGAACTTAATTATGTGGGCCCAGCATTCTGATTTTACCATCCCAAAGTTATGACTGAGACTTAATTTTGATCATTGGTTACATTATTTATAAATTTTAAGAAATGCAAAAGAATTTGCCATTCTACTAGTGTCTATTTCTTAACCATTCTGTTGCAATTTCATTACATGAAGGTCCTTTTCACAATCCCAAAAACTAATACTGCAAGATCAATATTTTATTTTTTATCTTTCAAGTATTGCATTTAAGCTGCAAAATGGCAAAATATTGATGCTGAGACTCATTTGTAACTAGGCATGCAATAAAAAAACTCCAAAACATTCCAAATGAACAAACTAAACAAGTTAGAGCTAACAACCAAAAGGTTCAGACATTTTTATAATCTGAAAAAAAACCCCAAAGTTATATTAATGAATGGAAACCTGAAGAAAACTTTTGTCAGACTTACACAACAAATTGGCTTATAATCAGAACATTCAGGGGTGGACATGGTAGAACTAATTTGGGTTTTTTTAAAGCTTAATTTAGTACATATACAAATAAACACTGGAAATTTAAAATTTCCATCTTTCTTGTTCTTTCAGACCATCTGATTCTCTTCTTTAACTAGCTTGTTCAGTCCCTATTTGAAATGTAGAGTTTGGCCACCCACTTGGGAGGAGCTCTTTTAAGTTTGACAGGTAAGGCTTTTAAAGATAACTTAATAGTCATTAGCAGTTTGTTTTGACAGGGATATGTGCCCATTATTCTGTTTGGAGATGTGACCTTGAAAGCTAAATGATAGTAGGTCAAGAGTTACACTGATCAAATGATAACCATCAATTCCCTTTAGCCATTCTGCATTTTTCTCACTCCTACTGTCTTCTTTATATCCCTATTGATGGCTTACACCATATAATCATTTTACCTTAATAAATATCATAGAATCATAGAAAATCAGGGTTCCTTAGGAGGTCATCTTCTAGTCCAACCACCTGCTTAAAGGAGGACCATCCCCAACTAGATAACTCTAGCCAGGGCTTTGTTGAGCCCGGCCTTAAAAACCTCCAAGGATGGAGATTTCACCACCTCCCTAGGTAACCCAATTCCAGTGCTTCACCACCCTTCTACTGAGAGAGCTTTTCCTGAGATCCAGCCTAAACTTCCCTTGCTGCAACATGAGACCATTGCTCCTTGTTTTGTCATCTGTCACCACTAAAAACAGTCTAGCTCCAACCTCTTAAAGGATAGAGGATGCTTTAAAGGCTGCTATCAAATCCCGCCTCAGACTTCCCTTCTCCAAACTAAATAAGCCTAGATCTTTCAGCTTCTCCTCACAAGTCATGTCCCCCAGGCCCCTAACCATTTTTGTTGCCCTCCGCTGGACTCTCTCCAATTTGTCCACATCCTTTCTATAGTGGGGGGCCCCAAAATGGACACAGTACTCCAGATGTGACCTCACCAGTGCTGAATAAAGGGGAAGAAAGGTAATCATAGTCCATTTATTAAAAGCAATAATAGTCCAATTATTGCCAATAATATCCAATAATACTAGTCTTAACTAATTTGACAATCTTTAGACATGAAGGGTTATGAAATAATTTGGGCTGTAATCAGCACTGAAGTGTAGCCTTCTGCTCCAAGAATTCCTCATGATGCATAGGAAGGCTCAGCCATGGTCATTCACATTTAGGGAGAGAGCTGAGGAAGACTGAGGGGGCAGGGAGGGTCTACCAAGGCAACATTTTCTCTCCTGTTTCCACACTGTTTCAAACCTGGTCTCTGTGAGCAGTGTTGTGGTGGCCACTGGGGATGGATATACCTTTGCTAAGACAGTTTTACAAACTGTCATTCAGATAGAGCCAGAGCAAAAAAAAAGTGATTTAAAATTATTCTAATAAAGGTAACATCCCCTTCCCCTTGTAACCAATTTGCCAAAACAAACAGTATCCTTTATAATCAGTTTTAGAAACAGGAAACTAACACAGAGGAAGCTGAAATACAGATGTGCCAATAAGTCTTCCACATTGTAGTGGATAGCAGGATAAATTAATTGACTTCAGTAGTACATGTGCTCCAATGACTGCTGTGCCTTGCAATTTTGCATGATGGGTGGCGGGTGGACTTTTTCTTTTTACTGTCAGTGAGAATTCCCTAATCTCAGTTCAACCATAACAGTAATAAATGTTGTTCTTCTTGTCGCTCTTAGATTTCTCATCTTTGCCAGGTACTTATTTCTGTCCTGCCAAACAGGTAAAATTGCAGTCCTGCTTCACCAAGTGCATTCATGACACTTTCTCTTAAATGTTGCAAATCTGACCTATTTGCGAGCAATAAAATACTTGTTGAAAAACATTTTGGTGAGGGATGTGGAAATGTCTGTCTGGAAAGTGCTGTACAGTTAGAATTTGACTGGCCATCTTCATGGCAGAGACTCTCATATTCCCTCTGTCCCCTCTCCATCCTCAAAACTTAAGTATAAATTATCCTTGTAAGAAAAGGGAAAAGATACAGGTTAGATCGCAAATGCTCTGTTAAATGTTTGTGTAATGTCAGTCACATTGGGGTACTGCCCTCTAGGTGTTACTGTAGTACAACATACATAAAATATTGCATGCAGTTGTATGCACCTTTGTAGATACCACAGACTTCACATTACATTCATGTGCTCTTTATAATGTTAAAATAACCATAAAAGCAAAGCAAATATTTTAACATGAATTGCCTGTATTTAGAATGGTTATTTCTAATGCTAATCTCACATAGGAAAATGTATCAACATAACTCACAAGCAGAACCAGAACAAACGTCATTGTCATGAGTGTACTAGTTAAATGAATACTTCAGCTTTTTTCGTTGTTATTTTCAACAGTGCCCTATAAGACCATTGTTTACCCAGCAGAATTGGTTGCTGTACAACAGGCAAGGGGGATTAATTAAAATTATGATCCTTAATAGGATGCATTTTGTAACAGGAAGCATAAAGGCTCAGCTGAATTTAGAAATAGTCATAGAGCCAAGCGTTTGTGCTATCCACAGATGCTTGGAAAGGAATAGACAAGAATGGCAGCATAAAAATTCAGTCTGGCTGGGACTAAAATTCACAATCACCTTCCAATTATTTCCAATATTTCACTGTGTGAGACCTCGAATAACATCAGCTGCATTTTTTTTATGTGGCATTTATATAGTTAGTCTATCGCTTCTAATGATTCACTATGTAGAATATCTTGTGTGATCCAATATGTAACCAGGCATGTCAATTGCTGTGGGGAAATCCCATAAAACTTTAGAAATCTGATATTTATATAATTTTATTTTTATACAGATATCTCTGGAGTTACGCAAATATCTAAAATATTTGCTGTTGGGCATAGCTTGGTTTCCTTGCACGTTCAGAAGGATTTTGTATCACAGTTGGAATAAAAAAGTAGCAAGCACCCTGCGCGCACAGTAATTTGCGAACAAATTAGGACTCTGCATAAGCACTACTTATTTTTGCCTCCATGCGGATCCTTTCAGGCCCTTTCACAAAGTTTTTATGTATACATTTCTAGGGATACTACAGACATGTATATACACAACAAAAATCAGACTAGTGTACAGCATAAATGCTAAGGTGGTTCACAGAATGTCAAGGAACCTTTCCTATGTTGATGTAGGCATAAGGACAACACTGTGCAACCACGAAGGCATAGGACAAGTTTGTGCACAAGGAGCCTGCAGCTTGAATAAGCAGGACAGACAAGATGCAGTACAAGAGAAGTATTATTTTACAGATGGAGAACTGAGGCACAGAGACACTAAGAGTGAATGCTTGACTCCACTGATTTAAGTGAATGGCAAAAATGTACTTGATTTCAATTGGGTGAGTATTTCATCCTCAGTGATTTGTCCATTGTCATGGAGAAAGTCTGTAGTAAAGCTAGGAACTGAATCCACATCTCCTGAGCTCCAGGCCAATGTCTCAGCCACAACCACAAGGTCTCAACCTTCTTGTAAATTGTTGTCTTAAACTCAGTTTCCTTCTAATTAATTTTACATATATGTATGCATTTGTGCATGTGTGTGAGTCCGTGTGTGTGTGTGTGTGCACATACACACACACGCACACACGCACTGTAGTCTTTGTTAGGAGTTTGAGAAATAGGCTATTCATTTGTAAACCCAGAAGCCATTAATTCTCCTGTGGATTTCAAAAGAAACCTGGTAAAGGGGGATGGAGGGGGTCAAAGCTGTTAATCTGACACTGTGTTGTCTCAGGAAGCGCAGAGCACAGGTTGTGTAGTTACACTCAGAACATAAGAAACTCCCTGCCTTCTACAGGAAGGGGTTGAGACCATGGACAAACTTATACGCTGCTTTGCAATATTATGAATGTACATGTCTTTGAGGATGTTTTTTTTTTACCAGAAGTTCAACTTTAAAAATGGAATGTGATTTTGTTGGACTGGGACACATACCGGTGCTTGAGAAGTAGCTTGGGGGAGGGGGGGTGAACCTGATTCTTAAGAATACATCAAGCTCTTAAGGAAGTAGATTGTGCCATGTTTGAAGATGCAAAGATAATCACAGTGCTGGGAACCGTCTTGTGTAGAGGAGGAAACCAAACAACAAGAGGAAAGCAGCATATGCTCCTGATTTCGCACAGGAAGCCCACAGCACCTCCTGCCAAAGTGAGATAAGAAAACTCCCATGGCCTATTCTGGACAAGGCCAGGGTTGTCAACCTTAGCTTCACACTGTCCTCAGTCTACTCTGCAGCCTGCTCCCTTTCCTAATGA